TTTTTTTGAGGAAAAAAGACTTTTGAAGAAAATTTATTTTGAAAATATTTTGGAAATTCTGAACTTTTTTCAAAGCAATCGTACTGCTTTAACTGCATAGAGACGAATATCGAAGCGCGTAAGCGCCGCGTCTCCGTCTTACGGATAAACATACGGACCCATAGGAATGTAAACTAAATACTTATTGTTAAAATCTCTATAAAATATCTCATAATTTGATGTGCATATGTCTAATGATCATTTTTGACCGCCAAATGTCATTTTTTTTTTACTTTTTTCTTGCCTTCATGAAATTTGATCAGTTCTTTATCTTATTAATACAAGTAAAATGTTTTTTGTATTATTCAAATTGGACGCTCCGTTCTCTTAAAAACTGAGTTACCGTTTTTGGCACTTTTTGCCTCATATCTTCGGAACGGCTAGACCTGCCTTCGCCAAAAACTAATCAGCACGTCTCCTTATCAATACGAATCGAATGTTTTTTGAATTATTCAAATCGCTTCATCCGTGTTCCCGAAATCTTCGACGAAAATTTGTATCCGCACACACACATACACACCAAAATGTTCAGAAGGTTATGAAACGTAAAGATATATAAAAATTTCATTTTCAATTTTTTTGCGATTACTATGACTTGCTCTACGGGAAGTTATTAATATTTAAAACTATTAATAATAAAACATACATAAAAAATATATTTCTTATTAAAAATAGCTGTTTGAAAATAGCACTACTGTGATGAAGTTACGTAAAAATATATACCAATTAAAAGTATGTAAAATGCATAATCTGCTATATCAATATGATAAAAATATATAAATAATGTATGTGATTAAATGCAAATGCTCTATGATTTTTAAATAGCATTCCGTACATTTTAATTCGTAATCTGTTAATCGATTTATATATATATTTTAATATTACACTATTTAATTAAATATCACAATTAATTATTAATTTTATTCGGAACTTTTTATCACTATTATTATTTTATGCATGCAAATGACTAACTTGAAGATCATAATTATATATTCAATGAACTATGTAAACTACCAATGTAGCATCGACTACTTTTTCTATATCTGGTGAAAGAAACTTTTTTAAAACCAAAGTTTTTTTATAAAAAAATATTTAACTATGATTAATGTGATGAATATAAATCGATTTGTCGAACACATGATTTTCGGATACTAGGGATCAAAATAAGATACTTTGCCAAAGAAACCATATCTTTAGAATGAATTCTGATACCCCGATTGCCCCAAAGATTGGGTCAAATTTTGAAAAATCCTGTTTTGGCTCATTTAAAGCGCCCCAATAGTGTCTAAATGTACGACCGATCGCCACTAACTTTTGAAGGCCGATCTACTTTTACACTAACTTTTGTCAAAAAGTTTTTTGTGTGTATGAATTAATGTACGAAAAAAATGGTTTAAAAAAACATTTTTTTATTGAGTAAAATACCAAAAACCATAATTATTTGCAATTTTTGTATGGGTGATTTCTAAGGCGAGGTCCGAGGAGGTAAACCATGGGCATGGGTGGATCGTCCTTGCGAAGTTAGTGGGGACACAATTGGAGCACTCTAAATGGGTCAAAACGAAATTTTTCAAAATTCAACCCTTATCTGTCCCGGTCAATGCACGGGACATCAGAATTCATTTTAGATGTGTGTTTTCTTAAGCAAAGTATCTTATTTTGATCCCTAGTATCCGAAAATCATATGTGCCTAAGCGACTTTTAAATCGACCCTCTCTAATGTATATATATATATATATATATATATATATATATATATATACTTGTATACCCGGCCACGCTTTGTTGTGGCTTTTAATAAAATTTGCTGAATATATTTTATTTAATCTTTTTTATATTGATATTTTTGCTATGTTGCTTAAGGTGGTTACATAACCTGTATTTGCAATAGACTTGATTTTTTTTGCGAATTATTCAAAAATATTTATAATTTTTAGCTCTTACGTATTTCTCATTATTTCATATTTCTGTTTAAAAGAATTTTTTTTAATAAATTACCAAAAATATAATATCTATTCTTTAAATTCTTATGTCTGGTATATTTTTATAGTGTATTTGTTCATACATACCTATAGCATGCAAATAAAATAAAATTGATTATTTATTTATCTTATTATAACTACTTTTGTTGTTTATTTATTTTATTTTATTTCGTTTATCTATTATTATTTTAGCATGTTATTTATTGTATTTACTTTGTCTATAGTCACTAGTCAAAAATGAAAAAGCTTACTACTAAAGTAAACTTTTAGAATTGGTAGTTAATACTTATATAATAACAAAATTACTGGATGTCTATTTATTTATTTTTAAGACAGATTGTAATTAACAAAGAGAAATATATATATATATATATATATATATATATATTATTGCACTCCATAGTTTTTTATTACCACTAATAACAATACAACAACTGTCAGTATATCAATTCACAATTGGCAACATAAAAATACATAATTTTTATTTATTTATGTAAGAGATAATAATAAATTCTCTGTATTGTAATAATAATACTATTACAAATGTTACCATCCGTCTTCATAGTCAATAAAAACGCATTATTCAAACTCATTCATTTAAATTGTTCGTAGATCAAACGGATTCTACGACTCTACGATTTCTCGTAGAACTGTCAAAAATTTTGTAATTACCAATAATATAATATTTCGGCTATAAATTGAAATTTTTATGATTGCCTACCGCCCAAGTTGGATATAAATGCATACGGTGAACAAATCAAATTTAAAATTGGTACAGTAGTTTAGGCTACCATCGCGGACAAACAGTATGGCTCCAACTTTATTATAGATAAGAAATATATATATATATATATATATATATATATATATATATATATATATATATATATATATTTGTTCAAAGTGAAACATTCTTGAATGTTCATAATTGAACTATTCTTATTTTTTTATTTCGACACTGTATATGTGTCATCATTCAACAAGTTTATATTAGAGTAAAACGTACAAAATTAAAACATTGTGTAATCGACAAGAAAAAAAACTTCAAAATAAAATTCGAACGTGGGCTAGCACCAACTAGTCCCGGGTTCGCTGTTCCTCTACCGCAGTAGCCAGACATCAGGTAACTTTGATGTCAAATTTTGACTTGAGGTTATCTCAAATATAGCCTCAACTGAAAATCGCACCTCGTGGGTATAGTTGCATATTTATAATAACTAGCTATAAGTGGAATTCTGTCCCAAGGCAATTAAGGCATCGTGCCTTAAGGCAAATTGCTGGAACTTCCCGTACCAAAAATTATTATTTTTTTAAAAAAGATTAACATTTTTGAAAAAAATTTACTTCAAAAAAATAAGATTTTTGACAAACAATTAGACAAATAATTACTTTTTTTTGAAAAAAAAAAATTTTTTTTTATTTATTTTTTTTTTTAATTTTTTTTTTTTGAAAAAAAAATGTTTTCTTTATTTTGACATATTTTGAAAGATCTAAACTTTTTTTCAAAGCAATCGTACTGCTTCAACTGCATAAAGACGAAATATCAAACCGCGTAAGCGCCGCGTCGACGTCTAACGCGTAAACATTGGTACGGAACCCATAGGAATGTAAACCAAAATTATACTTATTGTTAAAATCTCTATAAAATATCTGATAATTTGATGTGCATATGTCTAATGATTATTTTTGACCGCAAAATGGCATTTTTTTTTTACTTTTTTCATTAGATCTCCGAAACCGCTAGATCTGCCTTTATGAAAATTTGATCGGTTCTTCACCTTGTC